AATAAATGAATGGTTGGGCTCGTTAGCTACAAGTAGTGGATACATGTTTGAAATATTCAACCCAAAAGAATAGATAAAAAGTTTACATTTTCAGCTGAAATATTATAAACATTTTGAAAACCGTAGCTATAAAATCTGCCACTCAAATGTTAGTAGTGAAAGTGGAAGCTTTACCAAAGTACCTCAACATTGGCAATATCATTATGAAAAGATCTTTTAACAATATCCCCTTTTATATAATTATCAGTGTTTAAAAACATTCAGTTTATAATTAATTCAACGTAAGATAACATTTTGAGCTGGTGCTTTTCTAAGAATGGACAAAAATGAGATGTCCATATTTTTCATTTTCACTGCATTAAATGTCTATGTATCCTGTCACTTTAATACCTTTTTAACTATGCTTCTAAAGGTGGATTATGTGACTGATTGTGTCTTTTCTTGAGAGTTTATCCTCCATTTGAACACTTGTATCTTCTCTCTCCTCTCTGTTCTCACTCCATCACTGTCTGTATGCCGGTCACACACACACACACTATTGTTTCCTCTCGTCTCTCTAGCTCCTGGCTCAGGTATCCAGGAAGACTGCATTTTGTCTTCAACGTGGTGGAGTTCCCAGCATGCATTGCGCGGCCCGCGGGGAGGCGAGGGCTGTGTACCGGTTGGCTGTTTGACCTCGTCCATCCTGTCCCGGTTTTCCCAGAGAAGGCTGCATGGCCACAGGTAATGAGAACACTGTGAACTCATGACTGATTCATTTCTAAGGGCTCTTATTTGAGAGTGCTGGAATGAAGAAAACAAATACGTGTACCGCTGCTAGCTAGGTTCAAACACACCCTTTATTTTCACGTCCCTTCTCTTTGCCTTACTCTTAAGTTTAGTATAGAAAAAAAACGAGCTGGACTGAACATTTCTCCTGTAAATAATACTCATTTTTACACGTAGAAAAGACATTTGGTACATTGAAAGGAACCACAAATTGTCAACAGTTCAAAGCTACTAGTGTTCAGCTTAGTCTCCACTATTGTACATCAATTTAATACAGGGGTATCTTCTCTTGCACTTTATGTATCGATGCTGCCATATTGTATTACCATGTCCTAAACACTTGGGTATTCTACTCTTGCACTTTTCTTGCATTTTATGTATTTGTACTGCTATGTTTGTCATTTTCATTTTCTTAATGTTTCATGTCATGAAAAGTAGCTCAAAGCTAAATCCGGCATATTTACACTTTCACGTTTTAAGTGTTGATTAATGTGCAATGTCCCTGCCAAATAAACAAATTGGCAAAATAAATGGACAAGCTATACATAGTTGACCTCCACTTGAAGGCGTACAATATTCAAACCCAAAATGATAACCTGTAAATAATACTTTACATACAGAATCTCAGGAAACAGTGCAGTGTCTTCATGAAGCTGCTGAACTCAAAGCATCAGGGATTCAACTTTCCTTTCCCTTTTTACTGTATGTTTTTGGCAGCTCTGTGTGTGGTTAATTAAGAAATTAATTTAAATTAAAGCAAGTTAAATCCTCTCCAGCACATGAGTTTCCCTGTTAGAATATTAAGTAGATCCGTTAATAGATTGGTCGGCCTGCAGTGGTTCCTCAGCTCGTTGTAATTACTTTCATTATCATTGTTTTTTTTGTAATTTAAATCTTCATTGTCACATGGCCATAACATGCTGGTTACAACAACATGACAATCATGTAACAAAATGTCATGTTATTATATTCTTGAACATACATGTAACTATTGTTCCAGTCAAATGTCTTTGTTTTGAGTTTTGTATTGAGTCCATTTTTCCACTTTCTGTTGAGTTGTGTTTCTTGTAATCTCAATTTATTTGTCCGTCAAAAAGATTTCTTCCACAATTGTTACCCATTGTTTTTTCTTCCTTACCTCAATTCCTAGTGGTAGCTTTCTTGCTTCATAATAGCAGAATTATTATTATTATTTTTTTAAAACAACTTTATTTTTCAGTTTTTCACAAATACAGTATGTCCAACATTTATGAGAAAAAGTTGCAAACCCACATGGGAGGAGAGTTATTCAGAATCAATGTTTATATTTTGGACACAGCGTCTTTCACATTAAAGGGGACCTATAATGCAAAATGCACTTTCTGATGTATTTTATACATAAAGATGTGTCCCCGGTGTGTCGGGGAACTCACGCAGCGTCAGAAAATAAAACCCTCTCTCTTTTCCTCCGTACCCAAATCTCTAAAAACGGGGAACAACGGCGCTGATCCAGATATCTGAAATGTGGACCCACGGCCCTATCAGAAACGTCGCTATCAGAAACAATGCCCGACTGTTTTGGACGTAATATGGTCGGTGTTTACATTAGCATGGCTAACACTCAGAGCTAACCTGTACTGGAGAGCATGTGTGTGAAGAAGCAGGAAATAGAAAGGAACTCACCTTGTGGTATAACCGGCAAGAGAGAAAGCCTTTGAGCTCCATACTGTTTCAGAAATAATCCTTGATCTAATAATCCTTGCGTTTCATCACGACAGCATTTTAGACAATATCTGCCAGGTCCTGCATGAGCCATCATAAGCTCCGCCCCCTCTTATATTTATTTTTTACAGTAAAAAATTAAAAAAAGCTTAATTTTTTTATTTAGCTTTTATTTATACAGGTGAAAATCTCATTGAGACACAGGGTCTCATTTTCAAGGGAGACCCGTTTATACCCAGAATCAGCACTTTTGTAACAGGAAGTGAAATAGAGGGATATGAGGCATGGCTAGAATGGTTGATCTGTTTTTTTGTTGTTGACCAAAACTCTTCATAGACTATGTTTTTTGTATATTTTTATATATCTGAGACCTATGCTATTGCCTAAAAATAGCATGATAGGTGACCTTTAAGAACTGAGTGAGCTAGATCCTTAAAGGGTGGACATGGATATCCTGGAAAATGTTTAGAAGCAAAAGACCGAACCCAGAGGTACCTAACATAGTGAGATTTTGGTATGTTGTGATCCCTGAACTGTCACTAAAAAGATCTTGAAAATAGATGAAGCTACTTCTACGCCAAACAGCAAATGCCATGTCCAAAGATATTAGCAGAATATTGATCAAATATCTGTCACTTGCTATAATTTCCTCTGTGAGTACCAAACTCTCATTATTTGAAAATGCTTTTAACTTCTGACCCCAGATCCATGTGAGTCTGAGACCTAACTCCCTCTTCCGGCCTCCTTCTNAGGAGGTGTGTCTGTTAGGACAGTGTTTTTCTGGGTTAATGCTGCCTTTCCACTCGGCAGCCGTGCTCTGGTTCTTATCTGAACCTTTTTTGTGCGGTTAGAATCCTTTCCCCTGGCCACCGAGTCAATCGATGTATTGTTCTGAGTGTGTTGATTACGAGTGGTGGGCCTGGGCGTCGTTTGATATCTTGTTCACGTTCTTGTCTTTTGCCGTGGCCAGTGAGGGTTCGCACAGCGGAAGGTTACTTGGTATCTGGTAACGCGTGCCGTTGTATCGACATAAATCTCGCAGTGTCGAACAGTGAAGTCCGCTTGATGGTCCTAGGCTCCTCTGGTTGGTCAAGGAGGAGTAGAGGCGTCTTGCCGCGTCGCGCATATGTGATGGCGTTATATTCGTGCCTCCTATCCTGAGTGGACGCTGAGATGGCACACACTGGTTGAGGTGCAGTGATCACGCAGTTTGCTAGTTGAGCGCGCAGCGTTGCACAACTTTCAGCTGTGAGGAATGGCGCGACACAGCGAAGGAGAAGACTGTAACTAAATACATCTCAGCAATTAAACTTATCAGAATATGAGTGTCATAGGATTCTTCTGATATGCATGGAGCATGGGGCATGTAGTCTAAAGCATGTACCAGATCAATGCTCAGTCTCTCGGTTTGCACCGAGGAAATTACCTGAGCCGCGCTGAACAGAGGAAATTATAGCAAGTGACAGATATTTGATCAATATTCTGCTAATATCTTTGGACATGGCATTCGCTGTTTGGCGTAGAAGTAGCTTCATCTATTTTCAAGATCTTTTTAGTGACAGTTCAGGGATCACAACATACCAAAATCTCACTATGTTAGGTACCTCTGGGTTCGGTCTTTTGCTTCTAAACATTTTCCAGGATATCCATGTCCACCCTTTAAGGATCTAGCTCACTCAGTTCTTAAAGGTCACCTATCATGCTATTTTTAGGCAATAGCATAGGTCTCAGATATATAAAAATATACAAAAAACATGTCTATGAAGAGTTTTGGTCAACAACAAAAAAACAGATCAACCATTCTAGCCATGCCTCATATCCCTCTATTTCACTTCCTGTTACAAAAGTGCTGATTCTGGGTATAAACGGGTCTCCCTTGAAAATGAGACCCTGTGTCTCAATGAGATTTTCACCTGTATAAATAAAAGCTAAATAAAAAAATTAAGCTTTTTTTAATTTTTTACTGTAAAAAATAAATATAAGAGGGGGCGGAGCTTATGATGGCTCATGCAGGACCTGGCAGATATTGTCTAAAATGCTGTCGTGATGAAACGCAAGGATTATTAGATCAAGGATTATTTCTGAAACAGTATGGAGCTCAAAGGCTTTCTCTCTTGCCGGTTATACCACAAGGTGAGTTCCTTTCTATTTCCTGCTTCTTCACACACATGCTCTCCAGTACAGGTTAGCTCTGAGTGTTAGCCATGCTAATGTAAACACCGACCATATTACGTCCAAAACAGTCGGGCATTGTTTCTGATAGCGACGTTTCTGATAGGGCCGTGGGTCCACATTTCAGATATCTGGATCAGCGCCGTTGTTCCCCGTTTTTAGAGATTTGGGTACGGAGGAAAAGAGAGAGGGTTTTATTTTCTGACGCTGCGTGAGTTCCCCGACACACCGGGGACACATCTTTATGTATAAAATACATCAGAAAGTACTGCACGTAGAGGCCCGCGTGGATGTGACAGAGGAAACTCGTAAGTCCACATAGAACATTATCTGCACGACACTCACTCCCACGCTTGCAACTTTCCTCATCAACGTTTGACGTACAGATTCTCGTGCCTGAAAAATAAATTGTATATAATAATAATAAAGAATAACAGCAAAACCGGCCGGTTATTGCAGCACGAAATGAGACATCACTAGGCATTGAGTTCAAGCTGGAAGAGTCGAAACAATGGGTATCAATTGCTGGAAGAATTTTTTGACGGACAAATAATTGAGATTAACAAGAAACACAACTCAACAGTAAGTGGATTACAAATGGTTCTCTATGAATACCTCTAACAAAAACAGAGCGAATATGACTGGACAATAGTTACCATTTATGTATCAAAAATATATATCACTTCATTATCTTACATGATTGGTCCATGCTGGCCACGTTGTACATTGCCTGTCTCTATCGCGCCGGATGTAAGCAAACAAGCTCAAGACCGTCTTTTTCAAATGTACACTCCGAAAAAGAACAATGATAAATGAAAGATAATCACATACGATGCTGTAGGAACCACTGCCTAAACCGTCACATATACAGCAACATAGTCTACTTGATATTCTAACAGTGACAGTCCATGTGCTGGAGAGAATATATCTTGCTTTAATGTTGGATGGAAACTCTTAATTATACACTCATCAGAGCTGTCAAAGACACACAGTAAAAAGGGAAAGGAACTATGAATCCCTGATGCTTTTGAGTTCAGCAGCTTCATGAAGACAACCGCACTATTCCTGCGATTGTGTTGTAAACAGTATCATTATACAGGTATATACATTTTTGGGTTGAATATTGTACGCCTTCAAGTGGAGGTCAACCTATGTATAGCTTGTCCATTTATCTGCCAATTTGATTATTCGAGGGACATTGCCTTAAGCGACAACTTAAAGACGTGAAAGTTTATATAGTGCTCGGAGTAGCTCTGAGCTACTTTTCATGACATGAAACATTAAGATATAATGATAAAATGACAAACATAGCAAGTAACTATATGTCTCTCAAAAAATGTCAAGAAAAGGCAGAGAAGAATACCCAAGTTTAGGTATTTAGGACAGTGGTAATACCAATAGGGCAGCACGATACATAAGGCAAGAGAAGATTACCCCTGTATTAATTGATGTACATGTGGAGACAAGCGAACATTAGTAGCTTTGAACGTTCACCAATTTGTGATTCATGTCAACGTACCAAAATGTCTTATCACGTGAAAAATGAGTATTACTTACAGGAGCAATGTCGTCCCAGCTCGTTTTTTTCCTATACTAGCGCTAGTGAGTAAAGGCAACGAGACCGGACCTCATAAATAGACTTGGTGTGTATGAACCTAGCTATCCGCAGGTGAATCGTTGTATGTGTACTGTCAGGTCCAGCACTCTCCTGTAAGCGCCCATTAGGTACATATCAGCATGAGTAACCCAGTGGTCATGCTTCATTACACTGTGGCCATGCAGCCTTCTCTGGGAAAACCGGAGACCAGGTATGGACGGGTCAAACAGCCAACCGGTACACAGCCTCGCCTGCCAGCGGCCGCGCAATGCATCGCCGGGAACTCCACCACGTTTGAAGACAAAATGCAGTCTCCTGGATAACTGAGCAGGAGGCTGGAGATACGAGTATATAAATTAGTGGATGTGTGTGTAGTGAACGGCACAGAAGTGGATGGAGAGTGTACAGAGAGGAACCTGAGAAGATACAAGTGTTCATAGGAGGATAAAGCGTTCTCCAGACCGACACAATACGGTCACATAGTCCACATTTAGAAGCAAGTTAAAAGGGTCTAAAGTTCGACAGGATACATAGTCTATGTGAAATGCAGTGAAATTTTTAATAAGGACATCTCATTTTTTGTCATTCTTAGAAAGCACCAGCATCAAAATGGTATCTTACGTTGAATTATGGAGAAACGGCGGTCGTTTTCAAACATCTGATTAATTAACTAAGGGGATATTCTGTCTCCATGAGCAGTCATCAGGAGTTGCTCAGACTGAATAGGTACTTTGGGTATACAGCGGCCACTCGCCCTAACATTTGAGTGACACAATGGTGAGCTGAGGGTTTTCAAGATGGTTGTCATATTGTCAGCGGCAGGTAACTACATTCGTGGCTGAACATTCCCATGTATCACCTACTTGTCGCTCTCGAGACCACAACCATTCATCCTTCTCAATCAGTGATCATGATCGACCTGTCTTAGCCCTCATAGTTCGAACATCTCTGAGCAGCCAGCTTTGAGTATGAGCGGAAAAGTACACTTGACCTGACACCCACAAATCGAACAAGTGTCAAAACCCGTGGAGGTGGGTTGTGCAGTAAGCTACTTTACGCGAGTAGCTGTACTGCACATCACACAAGTGACACATGACTTATAGTAGATGTACAGTGCAAGTAAACTGCGCCCTGGTTGGAGCTTCACTATGACACCGCCTTGATCCTAATCATTAAGAAAATAGTGCCTGGACCTGTATATCTACACTAACGTATGTGAGCGCCTTCATAGAATATCCCTCTTGTCTCTGTTCTCTCTGTACTGTGTAGTCCCACGGCTCTCGAGACTTTGCAGTTGCGCGAAGCGCTCACTAAAGAGAAACGCTGTGCCTACCATGGACACTAAGACAATCGTTGAGCACAGCATTAAAGTCAGAGTGGAAATAGTCCTGAGCAAATCTGATTTTGTCAGAAATCGGGAGAAATGCGGGAGAAATATGACCCCGGGAGGAAACCGGGAGGGGGCAGTGAAATCGGGAGTCTCCCGCGAAAATCGGGAGGGTTGGCAAGTAGGCTACTCAAGTAGAAGTACAGATACTCGTGTTTAAAAATACTAGTAGAAGTACTGACTAAACTTCTTTACTCAAATAAAAGTAAAGAGGCTTTGAAATGTAAAAAGTACCCATAACTAGCAGCTGTTTTAAAGAGTACCTGACCTCCCTTTATATGAATAGAACAATAATGTCATTGTTAGCTAATGAATGTTTCCATGCTGACGGCAACATGACAACGTTTTCATTGGTCCCTCTTCTTTAGAGAAGACCAGGAAATGATGGATACACGGATCGTGTTCAAATCAATAGGCACGCAATGACTCTAAATAATAATGATCACGCCACCAAACACACATTCAAACTAAAGGAACCAGCCTGTTTGGAAAATGTGAGAAGTAGAAAGTACAGGTATTTGTGTTCAAAGTGTAAGAAGTAGAAAGTACAGGTATTTGTGTTCAAAGTGTAAGAAGTAGAAAGTACAGGTATTTGAGTTCAACATGTAAGAAGTAGAAAGTACAGGTATTTGGGTTCAACATGTAAGAAGTAGAAAGTACAGGTATTTGGGTTCAAAATGTAAGAAGCTAAAGTAAAGTACAATAACAAAGTATTTGTACTCCACTTCTTCCCACCTCTGATCTACACAAATGCCTCCAAAATGATATTGCTGTCATCCAGTGCCGGTGGTTAACGGAGGCAAAAACTACTCTGTCATTCTCCGTGGGGGTAATCAGAAGAAGTTATGGAGTCTGGGATGAGACCCCACTCTCTGAAAAATGCTTTTAGGGAGAAACCCCGGTGATGAATGCATGCTGCTGCGTTGTGCTTGTGTGAGATCTGAGAATTGATGGAAGGAGATGTTGACTAAACAACCCCAGGGAAGACTGAAGACTACTGAACAATTTATGAGCTGTCATGAAGTGTTTTATTTATTTTTTGCAGGAGGAAAATAACAGTGCTTACCAACGCCTGTCATGCAGTGAGATCTTTGGGTAGTGGGGGGTAAAGTTAGTGCAAAATCATCACACTTTATATGAGATTCTCTTCACAGCATATCATCATGTAAGCTAACCTTACATTGATTCCCACCTGAGGGCGAGGTGAAGCACTGTGGATTTATCTGTTGTTACTTTCAGACTTTAAATAGATTCCTTAACGATCCAGATGCATCGGAGCATCCCCTTAAGTACATTTTTCTCCATGTATGTTTTGAAGCAAACATTCCTTAATGCAGCTTCAGTCCACATTAAAATTACTACATATTCAAAGCGACCACATGAGAGAGGATTTTCAAAGCTGCTCTAATCTCGCTAAAAACGCCCTTGCTGCCGTGCTTTAAGATAAATATTTTTCTTCTAGGAAAATGTTCTTTGCTGCTCGTATCGAGAACCTACGCTCATTAGGTTAGGATGTTCTGTTTGTGTAACTCTACAAGTTTTTAATTACGTTAATTTGTTGTTTCAAATGTTTTACAACAGAGAAACTTTTTAATTTATTCTAAATCCTTGAACATTTGTCCATCTATTTCTTCCAAATGTAGTGTTTTCATGAGCTTGAAGTTGAAAGGGAACCACATATACGCTTTAACAAAAGATCTGTTGTGTTTTATTAAGATCAATACTGTTCTTCTAGTGAAATGTATTTTTGCTGCTCACATCTAGAACCTATGCTCGTTACGTTAGGATTTTCTGTTTGTGTGGCTCTCCAAGTTCTCCATCAGTTCTAGTTTTCTGCACACACTCCGCTTTTCTCTCCCTCCCAGACAGAAGGAAGTTGCAGAGTGATATGTGGGCCGACAGGAAGCCGTCTCCACGCTGCCAGTCTGAAGGATGAATGTCACCGAGTCGCTAATGCCAGTCGCGAGATGCCTCCATAGATTCAACCCCCGAGACATCTGGATCCCCAGGTGCCGCTCTGCAGATCCAGGACCAGCTGCAGGAAGCCAGAAGCCCTCCAAATGCCAACTGGAAACACAGCAGCCAAAACCACACTGCGGCTTATCGGCTCCACCACAACCCTTTATGGGCCTATTCACCTCAATCAAAGCTGTTATTTAGGTAACGAGCCAAAATGGCGGATGTTGCTGTGCTCCAATTACCCACTATGTCTCCTCCGTGTCTCCCTGCCAGGTTCCCCACAAACCCTGCTTCTCCTCGGCCAGCTGCTCTGGCGCTGATCCGTGTCCTCGCTATCCGAGCGGAGGGAGACCTTTCCGAACAGAAGGCCTCTGTCAGCGCTGGATCCGCTCCCTGAAGCCATCGATGACTGTCAGGTCTGTTCTGCAGCTCTTATCTACGAGGGAAGGTGTGCAAAGTCAGAGCCAAAACTGGTGTCTAATGGACCATCGTAAGGGTTTTTAAATACGTTAATTAGTTAGTTCTTCTTCTTGATCATTTGTCAAACTATTTCTTCCAAATCTGGCGTCCACAAACTCAGATCCGTTTATTTTCATCCTCATTAAAAGAGAAGCAAATCTTCCGTGTTGTTGGGAATCGTTAGACATGTGAGATGTCCGCTTTCCATCAGCCCTCCTGATGTACCTGTACCTTTAAAAGCTATACACTAGAAGCAAAACACATATGAGAGGTTTCAAATATAATGAAGGTGTCTTTAGGGTGCAAAGTCAGAGCCAAACACTGGTGTGTAAAGGACCAACGTGGAGGTTTTTTTTTGTTTCAAGTGTTTTATCAGAGAAACATTATAATGTATTCTAAAGTCTTAATCATTTGTCAACCTATATATCTTCCAAATGTGGCGTTTTCATGAGCTTAAAGTTGAAATAATTGAACAACGAAGAAGCTTTAACCAAAGATCTGTTGTGTTTTATTTCTCTGTGCCTTTTATTGAAATGTTTACATGTTTTCCCGGGTTCAGATTTTACTTTAATTTCTCCACTCAAAATATGTTTTGTACGATTTATCTCTGAAACTGAAATGTGGCATGAAGTAACATTGTGAAAATACCCAAGAAAGTACCTCAAAATCGTACATTTTTACTACTTTTGCTAAGCATGCGTAAATAGCACACACCTATATCATATTTAAATGTTGAATTTCCTATGTATACTGAGCATATTTGTTTTTTACCTTTTGTAGGTATAATCTTTGATCAAGTGCTCCTACAATGGAGTTTTCCATCTTGATATGACTAAATGAAGGTATTAGATGATTTAATTAAATGATAAACTTATGTATTTACATATCTTACACCTGATATATCTGATATTCTGTATCCTTTGAGTGAAATGGAAAACCAATGTATGCAGCTCTAAATGGTCTTTAAGAGTTGTGACAGAGACATTAATATTTACATCGTTATCTTACGTGACTGACTCAAAAAACGGATTTATGAGCTTTTAACTTTAAGCTTTTCGTCTCTGTTAACGTCAGTCTCTTTCTGCAGAAGCTGTTCAGGTCGCTGCGTTCACTTTTTTATGTTCTGGTTCTCTTTCATTTAATCTGTTTTGTGTGCAGATAGAAAAAGCAAGGACATTTTTTATCTTCACGTCCAGCTGGGAAGAGACCAAGGGGTAGACCTAGGACCAGGTGGAGGGATTATATCTCTTCGCTGGCCTGGGAGCGCCTTGGGATCCCCCAGTCAGAGCTGGTTGATGAGGGGAAAGGAAAGTTTGGGGCTCTCTGCTGGAACTGTTACCTCCGCGACCCGACCACGGATAAGCGGGAGAAGATGGATGGATGGATGTTTTATCTTGTTCACAAGAAAACTGAGAAAAATAGATATTATAACATAAGGCGCTTTCACACCGGAGTACTTTTCCCAGTATAGTTCCGAAATAGTTCTGAAAATTAGCGTTCACACCAAAAAGAGCCGGAACTCAAATTAGTTAATGAGAAGAGATACCCGCTTTCTAACAGCCTTTCCTTTGTACCTTCACTTTAAAAGTTATACACTAGAAGCAAAACACATGAGAGGCTCAAAATATAATACACCTTGTTGAATTTATGTATTTGTTTATTTATTTATTTGTTTATGCCACACATGGCAGTTGTGTACACTTTACAAAACATGTAGCCTACTCTTATACTGTTTTGTTTTTTTATAGCGCATGGTGGAAAGGAGCAGGGAGAAGAACATCTTATTTCACCTGCCCCTTCTTACAAAAAGAAAATGAAATAACCATAAAAAAGTCAAATAAAAGCGATTGTTGGGGAATCATTTGCTTAGGTATTCAACCTTTGACACAGTTCATCATGTTCTCCTCTCACTGTCTCCTTTCCCACGGCATAGTTCTACGGCCTTGGGTTCTGCTGCTATCTCTCTTCAGGAGGAGCAGCTTGGGCGCATTGTTGTTTCCAGTCTATGACCGAGCACAAGCCGCCATGAGGTAGTTTACTGTTCAGGGACGAAGGTTCCCTGGCGCACATTCTTTCCTATGGACGAGAGCTCTAGTTAGATTCAGGGTCCATAATTGTTCAGTCTCACTGATGAAGAATGTTGATTATTACACTGCGAACTAGTTAAAACATCGAGCTACAGCAGTGTTTCTCAAACTTTTTCATACCAAGGACCACTTAACCAATAAAAAAACACTCGCGGACCACCTAACTCCACAAATATTCAAAAACACATAGTTTTTTACAAATCGCCTGAAAATGGTACAAACAAGTGGCAACATGTGTGATGAAGGTGTTGCACTGGGCTATATCATGCAATCGAAAGTGAAACTTAAGCTCGCTCCATTGCGGAGATATTCCCGCGAGAGTACGGAAAACTTAAATAAATACATTTATTTCAAATGTGAAATTTTACCAATATACTCACGGACCACTAGGGGGCGCTCACGGACCACCATTGGCCGGGGAACACACTTTGAGAAGCACTGAGCTACAGAAAGAGTTCTTGGTAACCGCTGTGTTAACTCGTGACACACCACATGTCTTGTGAATTCTCTGGCCGTAACTCCAAATAAACCGTCAGTGTTTGCCATCAAAGCTCCAGCTCTCCTCGTGCCTCTCTGAGTCCTGTTTCCAATTGCTACAGAAGTTTCCCCCACAGCGATATTCTTTCAGTCGCTTACAAATACTGAAACATAAAACCCGGATACAAAAGTCAACTTCATAGTTTCTAATTACACTTTCTTTAAACATTTTCTTAATATAGTAGTTTGACTTATTAGTTGCTACTTTAGATGATATTTCGTTGGAAAAAAAGACCGTTCTCCCATCTTACTCCCGACAAGAAAGCTATAAGCGTTTTCCGCAAAATGTAAAACTATTCCTTTGCATGACATGAGGAAACTTTTCTTTCCAGTAGTGGAGGAAACAGTTTGAGGAATCCACAAGTTGACAGTAAAGCCTTTAAAGTCTGTGTCAGGGGAAATGTACTGCCGCCCTGCTCTTGTCCAAACAAAGCTTATTGTCCACTCACAGCACTCGGCTGTAACTAAATCCTGCTTAGTGCCAGTGGTGAAAAATAGCTGATTACATACTTCATGCTCTTTGCTTATTTGAGCCTGCAAATGTGATGTCATGGAGTCACTTAACCCGAAACAACTCCTCCCAAAAACAAACACAGACACAGTTAGAGACTATAAATAATACATAGAGGAGAATTTAGCAGCTAGAGTGACAGATAAGGAGTTGGTGGGGCCAAAAAAAGAGCTGAAAGAGACAAAATAAAGGAATAACATTTGTTGAAATAGTAACACAAGTTTAAAGGACATTTAAATATTGAACTGTTAGCTAACAAGTTTCAATTAAAAAAGTTATGATACGTCAATGTTGTTTTAACTTGTCTGCACCGCCCTCTAGTGGCCCAAAAGTGTTTTGCAAACAAAGAATCTCTTTATTGTTTTTGTGTTTTTACAGTCAAGTAGCTGTAACGTTTTCCACCAGACATATTGATATGTTTCATGACTTCATTTTGGCACAAACACATCTTTCCTGCAGACTCGATTTCTACCCTTATTTAATACTTAAATAAGTAAAAAGGCCCTGCTTTTCACATGAGAGAGGACCTTGTTGGTTTAAAAGCACACTTAAGGTCGTTAATACCTTAATACTGTTCATATGCAATATCCTTCAATTTCCCACAAGTTATTTGCAGAAACAACTCTCATAGTATATGAACAGACCAGCGTATGTGTCACAGCTAAAGAAAAAAGCATTTTTGGTCAAAATAATGAGATTTTACACCAACAATCAAAAGTTACACAGTCGGGCTCTGTATTGATTATATTCTGAAACTGTAAGAAAAGTGATATTTGGCCAGTTTTTCCATTTTATTTCAGGAAAACTGTCCGGCTATTCAGAACTCACTACCTGCATACAAATATGATTAAAGAAAGTTGACTTTTCAACCAGAAGAGTGGGATCTACTTTTGCAACTTTTTGGTCAAAATAATGACTTTTGAAACACCTGTGTGTAAAAAGGGGGAGACACACATGATGTAAGAGACGCTATTTTCACCTGATATCCATATTTCATTTTCTTTATATCACGGTGATCCTTAAACCTGGTATAAAGCACCATCCGAGTATTCATTTGAAAACCCATACAGTGTTTTTGAGATCCATGCAGTATCACAAAACATAACATCGTGATATTAAGGTCTATACATTTTTATTATACATTTATAAAATGGAATCTTAGTGCGGAAAGGCGGAGAGAGAAACCTTAACTGTACATGAAAGAAGAAACAGGAATTATTTAAGAGACGCTGGATTAATTGCTATACTGTATATGTATATTTTATATACGTTAATTAAAAACCAATTCAGTGTTTTGGAGAATCGATATACAGTGTCTTAATACCTAATATATTTTCGCTGCCATTAGATGGTACGCATTTGTGGAGAAGCAACATTTCTTCGGTCTGCTTCACAGTGTGTGTGTGTGTGTGTGTGTGTGTGTGTGTGTGTGTGTGTGTGTGTGTGTGTGTGTGTGTGTGTGTGTGTGTGTGGGGTTGCTGCAAAACACAGACCCCTGAGGCGAGGACCTTCACCCATGATCCCGGAGTTGCCGCTTGTTATGAGTGTGTGTGTGTGGGTGTGTGTGTGTGTGTGTGTGTGTGTGTGTGTGTGTGTGTGTTCCTGCCTATTCGGACTGCTTAACTTAAAACAAGCTGCTGTGAGCACGCTCCCCTCACCTCCTCCTCCTTCCTCCTTCCTTTCCTCCCTCGGCTCTGTAGAGACGGCGAAACAGAAGAAGGAATATTTGGCAGGCGAAACCTCGACAGAAAGCGAGGTTATCCCAGACTGAAGGCTGCACGATTGATTTAAAAAATATGCTTATAACAGAGGCTCGACCTTG